CCAAATCCGAGTCCAGGGATTGAGTGACCTCGGTTAATCTGATTCAAGAAACTTTGACCCATACTACAGAAGATGCTGCGTTTAACACCAGGATTGACCACACTGAAGGTACACAAAGCAAAGAAGGGTTGCCATCTGCAACCTGTGACTGGTGACATAGGCAATACAGAGGGGATGCTGGGATGCATGGCAGCTTGTGACCAGAGGCCCCAAGGTGCCAAGTGGAAGAGCACAGAGGAAGGAAGATCACCGTCACCATTGGCTGAATCACAGGCTTGGGCCGACCAATGGGATTCCCAAGAAAGTCACATGGCCAATTTATAAAAAACAAAAGGCATTCCAGTTTCTGGAGAAGATCTTATCTTACCTCCCCGAACTAGAATCCCAACCCCTAAAAAATGTCTATGGTTTGACAAATACAGACCACTGCATGCCAAGTTTTTGCTAAATTTGGAGGCAATAACAATGAAGAAGACAATGTGGTCCTTGTCCTCATGGGCCTGGGAGCCATAGAGAGCCATAGACTAATCCATTCCTAAGAAGACCACTGTGGGAGAACAGTGTCATGGGCATCTCCTGTCCATCCTTGGATTTGCTTCGGGTGGAACAAGGAAAGAATTATCTGGGGCTGTGATCCACAGTCCCAGCTAGCAAAAGCATTGGCATGGACCTTGCCCAGGTTCTTAGTCCCTGCTGGAAAGTTATAGCGGACTGGAAAGAGGTGGGACAGAGGCAGCCAAGCTGAGCATTTGGGCCTCTGACATCAATGACAAAGTTCAGTGCTTTCCCCAAGCACCTCCCACTGCACCCCACACTGTGATGGACAGCATACTGAGCTAATCAAAGCCTCCCATAGCCAACTTTGTCATTGTAGGATTTTACACTTTTGTTTCCCTGACTCATTTAGGAGATAGGGATCAGTCACGCTGCCTCTGTGTTTCTCCATGGCTTCCCGAGGGAGGTGGCTGTGAGCAGTTCAAGCCAATTAGATAAAGCTGCCTAGATCAGTGCTGATATTACCATGGTGACAACAATTGCCCATGGACCACCCAAAGGGCCAAAACAAAGGTGGGTGGCTTCCCTGGTCTTTCCAGATAAGACCCTACAGTCAAGCTTCTCCCCAGCATTCCCACTAAATCTACATCCTAACTAGGAGTATGCATTCCTTAAACAGAATGTGTATTCAGTAGCATCCATGACACAGGATTCCATGATGAGAAAGAGGAACCCGAACACTCTGCAGCCAACTGGGATGTGCTCTCATTGAAGCACTACCTTCAACTTTTCCTACTAGGACCTGAGAAGGTAGCTCCACGGTGGGGTGCTTGCCTAGCGCAAAAAGTCCTGGGTTCCATGCCTCCTGCCTCAAGTATATATGAAATATGATAGCCTGCCACTTGTTCGATTGTCTCCTGTGTGAGCCTGCTGGCAGGGACGTCATCGCCTCCTCTCTGGGGAACTGCCCTCGTGGTGGAAGTACACACCTGCAGACAGTCTGTTCAGACTCAGGTTCTTTGTCCCCAGGGTCCTGATTGAGTCGGGGAATGGGAGGGAGCAAAGTTTTGAGCTCTGTGGTCTGTTGAGGGCTGGTCCTTACCATCCATCAAACTTAGAATGCAAATGTCATAGCATTCCATCTTGGGAGTCAGAGACAAGCAGATCTCTGTGAGTTCAAGGCCAGCCTGGTTTGTGTAGTGAGTTCCAGGACAGCCAGGGCTACATAGAGATAGCCTATCTCAGAGAGAGAGGGAGAGGGAGAGGGAGAGGAGAGGAGAGAAGAGGAGAGAAGAGGAGATGAGAGAGGAAGAAGGAGGAGGACGAAGAGGAGGAGGAGGAGAGAGGGAAGGAGGGAAGAAGGGAGGGGGGAAAGGAGGGGGAGTTACCTAAACACTATATGCTGTTTTATAAATATGGTAAGTAGGGCCTATATCTTTGTATTTCTGTGTCCACAAGACCACACACAGATCAGATAGAATTTCTTAAATGGGAAGAAAAGCCTCCTATAATCCCAGCACTGAATAATCACCATCAACATGTGGAAATATTCTTAGCCTCTTCTCTTTCTGCCAAATAACTGACAGAAAGGGTTGGTGTACCTCACCTAAGCCAGACTGCTTGGTGAACGACCTCTTTTGCGCCCCCTGCTGGTGCCGTGGTGCTGCTGTCGTAATTAATTGATTACCCCAAGTAAAGCTCTGCTCCCTTCTCACACAGAGGAGTCTCCTAGGTGTGAGACTCAATAGCTTTTATTTGTAACATCCTTCCTTGTTTCACCCATCCACAAAAGCCTCAAGGGCTGGAAGCTGGCGGGTGGAAGATCAGTTGCTTTGCGCAGACCGGATCATCCTCCAGGGGTCCTTCAACAAGGCTGCCTGGTAATTTGCCTGAAGGAGGCCTAAAAAAAAAAAAAAAACCGTCTCCCTCCTAAATCCTAGGACCAACAGACTGGTGTAGCTTTTCTCTGCCGTGGACAGCTAATATAGAGACCCACAGCTGGTAAGAGTTATCATCAATAGCTGTGGAGTGCTCAATCCTAAATGAGAAGGCTGTATCACAGCTACCCCCCACCCCCACCCCCCAGGAGAGAATGCAGCAGAAGAGGGACAGAAAGATGATCAGAGCCACGGAGGGAGATGGCTGTCAAAAAGTGTCTTCTGGGCACACGGAGCCACTCATGACTTCACAGCAGCAGTGGCTGCCTGCGCGAGACAGAGCCAGTCAGAGAGTCAACAGAGAGGAGAGGGATTCGAACCCCAACCCTAGCTAAGGAGCTTTGGCAATTGAAGGCTGCTGAAGGAGGGAGAGTCGGTGTTCCTCGGGTAAACGGCCCCTGGTGGGCTATCTGCGCACCACCTAGACCCATGCACACGGACAACCCTCGGTGGACTCGGTGGGCTATGAAAAGAGGACTTGAAGTTGGGAGTGGGGTGTGGCAGGAAGTTCCGGAAGGAACTGGAAGAGGGAATGGGCTGATATAATCAAAATACATTGTATATATGTATACAGTTCTCAAAGGACGAATTCTCTCTCTCTCTCCCCTCCCTCCCTCCCTCCCTCCCTCCCTCCCCTCCTCCTCCTCCTCCTCCTTCTTCTCTCTCTCTCTCTCTCTCTCTCTCTCTCTCTCTCTCTCTCTCTCTCTCTCTGTTTTAAATGCCAGCCAAACATAATAGCACATGCCTGTAACCCCAGCCATTCAGAAGACTGAGGCAGGAGAAACCCTAATTTAAAGCCCGCCCTGAATATTTTGGCTTTAAGGCCTTATATCAACATTTTAAATAAATAAATCAATTTACAAAGCACTTGCCTAACACGAGCAAAGCCGTGGGTACAACCCCCAGTACACTCTTCCCCGTGCTGCTGCGTACTACACACCGATTCAGAAAGGAGCAGTCTTCATACGGTCCTGGCTCTGACTGATCTGTCTGTTTTAAAGGAACGGGGACCCCTGAATTTAAAGGAGCTCAGCGAGCTGCTCTAAGTGGCATTTTCAGACTAATAGAGAGGACTGAATAAGCTGGAGTCCCCATGGGGTTCCAGAATTGGCATCGCAAGGGTGCCTACAGCCCAGGTCATGAAAAACCTGTGTGTAAATGGGCAGTTAGTGTGCAAAGGGGAACCCCAGGAAACAGCATCTTTCCAGGGGGCTCCTGCACATCGCTCTATATGGGAACACACAGAAGCTGTGCGCGTTCGCAGAATGCAGGGATAGATACTGGGGGCCGGTGTGAAAGCCGCACCCGAGCTTTCCTTCCCAGAAGGCAAGTGTGTCTTCCACCCCAGCTGGAAGGAAAGAGCTTTTGCCTGACGAGGCAGCGGAGGTCGGGAGCCTTACCCACAGACTGCTTAGCACGAGGGAGGCACTTAGAGCGTCACGTCTTTGTCTGAACAGGGATTAAGCAGGCCTCATTCAAGAAGCACCGTGCTAGCACTTGGCATATACAGCTGTCTCTGTGATAGCACGTCATAGGGCGTTGTTTTTTCTTCCGTTTTATAGTGAAGGATATAATGATCGCTAATTGGCCCTAAGTAATGAGCATGCAACCACAGCGAACAAAACAGGTGACACCTGACCCAGGCTTCACAAAAGCCGGAGCCTTTCCACAAGCCAGATGTTTAAGAACTGGATTTGCCTTTGGGGAGAGGTGATACTGCGTGGGGGGACAGCACAGTGAGTGGCCTCTTGAGAACGGAGAGCTTTCCAGGCAGCCTAGAGTGGCCTCCTTTAGACGAGCCAGGTGTTCTGGGCAGGGCACATCACATGTTCTAGGCTTGAATCTTCCTCTGCTCTCTTTTTTTTTTTTTTTTTTTTTTTTTTTTGGTTTTTCAAGACAGGGTTTCTCTGTGGCTTTGGAGCCTGTCCTGGAACTAGCTCTGTAGACCAGGTTGGTCTCGAACTCACAGAGATCCGCCTGCCTCTGCCTCCCTAGTGCTGGGATTAAAGGCATGCGCCACCAAGTAGCACAAAGATCAGGTGTTTGCCAATCCCCTGTGGAGGCCAGGACCATAGAGGTGGGCTGAGACCAGATAGATAGTCTGGCTCTACTGCTCTTTCTCTTCAACCAGGGAAGCTCTGCGTAGGGCCAAGTACGGGTGGAAGGGAACCTTAGAAAGGAAACCACTGGGTAGGTTCACACAGTGTCCCAGCCCAATCGCTCTCGGGTCTTTTGTTTCTGCCAGAGATTTGTGGGGGAAACCGTTCCTGTGGATTGCCTGAGGACATGTTGAATGGGAGGGGTGTGGGGTTGTATATTGATAAAGCGCAACAGGAAGGAAGGGAGAAAGGTGGTCACAGCCTGCCCAGTGGCCATCTTAGACAGGAAGTAACTCTTTGAGGTTGAAGAGGGTGTCTGTGATGGTGGTCATCCATAACACCACAGGGACAGGGTGGGGTCCTGATGTCATTGCCACAATTGGTACTTGCAATGACTCAGTAAAGCCTATGATTTTTCTCTTAGTCGTAAAGATTCAAGTAATTTTCTCTTCTTTCGTGTGTTTTTCAGATCTTAAATCCGAATTTCATCCAAGAAGGTGAGTTTTTAAAGGGGATAGAGTTGAGAATGTAGGGGCTGGCTACATAAATTCTATTTAGCTTTAAGGTTGGGAGCTTAAGCAATGGCGATATGCTTCTGTATTTTTCTGTATTATAGATAAGGAGAGGGAATTAAGACAAACTATTAAATGAAAGCGGGCAGCATGTAATATATTTGACTAAATAAATAAAAATGTGTTTGTATAAAGCCCAAAGATTGCATAGTGAAATGCTCCTAGATGCCACCTCTGCGCTATGCCATCACGGAGCTTTTCCCTCTTTGGTTCTGTTTCTAATTTTTTTTTATTTGGTTTTTGAAGACAGGGTTTCTCTGCCCTAGCTGCCCTGGAACTAGCTCTGTAGACCAGGCTGGACTCAAACTCACTGCGATCCCCCTGCCTCTGCCTCCCAAGTGCTGTGATTAAAGGCGTGTGCCACCACTGTTGGACTCTTGTTTCTAAGTTTGCTGTAAAAAAGAGGGGCACAAAGGTGGGGGTGGTGTCAGCACACACCTTTAATCCCAGCACTCAGAGGCAGAGGCAGGGGGATCGCAGTGAGTTTTCGACCAGCCTGGTCTACGTAGTGAGTTTCTGATCAGACAATGGTAGGCTGAGGGTCACTTTAAACCATGATGCCCATCTCTGGGGGTGAGAACACAGTCTAAAATGGCTATTGTAAGCATGTTGTGGTAACAGCGATGTTCATCTATTCAATTGCAGTGGCTCCAGAATTCCTCGTGCCCTTAGTAGATGTGACCTGCTTGCTTGGAGACACGGTGATACTGCAGTGTAGAGTCTGTGGGCGGCCGAAGCCCACCATCACCTGGAAGGGTCCAGACCAGAACATCCTAGACACTGACAACAGTTCAGCCACGTCCACCATCTCCTCCTGGTAAGTGGATCACCCAGTGGAAGCTGGCTTCTGGGTAAAAGTCCCTCTGGATTACTAGTCACCCCCAAGGCGCTGCCCTCAAGTTTATTCTGGGTCCCACACTTGGCCTTGATTAGGAGAGAGATTGAGTTAAAGGCACGGGTGGCTCAGCCTCCCACACCGGAGCACCCTGTGTTCAAGTCTTAGGCACGACCTTGACTGTTCACTCTGAAGCTGGCCCCTTAGCCCGAACTTCTAGTGGATGCCAGCATGCATTGTGTGTGCTGCCCAGTACCATGTGGGCATCCTGGAGGCTAACAGGAACCATCTGTTCCTGTGCTGGACCTACAATAAACAAATAAAGCATTGTCCTTGAAATCACAGGCCAAGCCTTAACCATGGATATAAAATGCTTCTGTGGCCCCTGCTTTATAATCACCCTATTAGATGATCAGTCTATCCAAGGGCCCCAGGGAAATCTGTCAGAAGTACTGAAAGCTAACGAACACCCTGGAATGCTTCATGCCCGCCAGGATGCGTAGAGATAGGGATGTGATTTGGTCCTTACCTAAGAACTACTTTATGAGAAGGGGGGAAGGTACATTCCAAAATGTAAGGCTCTTCTCCACTAAAATTCTGTTTGGGTGACTGCCTCCAGCCATTTTGCTGGCTTGTCCCCACCACCACAGGAATTCTGAGCATCCCTGCATTGCTGTGTGCAGCAGACAAGCAATAACAAGCTCTAATGGCTCACCTGCCGCTTAGAGAAATACCTAGAATCAAGCACATTTCATTGATTGGCTTAACGTGTTTGTGAGTGTGTGTGTGTGTGTGTGTGTGTGTGTGTGTGTGTGTGTGTGTTAAAGGTGAGGGTGCCTTCCTTGGTATTTCCAGAAGAGATGCCTGATCAGGCCATAAAACATCATAGGCCTGAGCAGTTCTGTGTGAGAGTCGTTGTTTGGCAGAGAGCGTGAAGATCTCAGAACACTGTCCCACCCCAAGGGATATTGTCTTAGTTACTTTGCTATTGCTGTGAAGAGACACCATGACCAATGAGACTTACAGAAGAAAGCATTCAATTTGAAGCTCATGAAAACTCAATTTGGAAACTCTACTTCCTTCCAGAGGGTACTAGAATCCATGACCATGGTGGCAGGGAGCATAGCAGCAGGCAGGCAGGCATGGCTGGAGCAGTCGCTAAAAGTTCACATCTGATCCACAAGTAGCAAGCAGAGAGATGGGGCCTGGTGTGAGCTTTTGAAATCTCCACATCCCCCTCCAGTGACACACCCCCCTCCAACAAGGCCCCGCCTCCTAATCCTTTCCTAGCAGTTCCACCAACTAGGGACCAAGTATTTAAACATGTGAGCCTCCTGGAGCCATCCACGACAGAGTGGGTGGACTGGCTTCCCTGTGAATTAACCCTTTCGGAGAAGTTCCTTCTGTGAGGTGTTTCTGAATGCAATTCTGGGGCAAGTGAGAAAGTTACCACTTAGGTTCTGTGTGTGTGTGTGTGTGTGTGCGCGCGCACGCGCGCGCGCGCGCGAGCGTGCTCCCTTAGACATGTACCCGTGGGGACAGAGGTCCACCCCAAGTATCTTTACCTCTTGCTCTTCACCTGGAACATACTCTTTTGGTTGGACTGGCTGGCCAGCAGCCTCTGGATCTGCCTGCTCCCCAACCCACCCAGCACCCAGTTCTGGGGTCATGGGCACGTGCTGCACCCAGCTTGTTACTAACTCCTCTTCTCATGCTGTTCACCAAGCGCTCTATACCCACTGAGCCATGTCCCCAACACCCACTTAATGCTTTCAAGGATCCCATGTGTAAGATTTGAAATACACACACATTTTCATTATTGAATCTGTTTTATCATTTGTTATTGACTTATGAGATTGAAGCTATTTCAGCCCAAGGTTACTTGTGTAAAGTAATCATAATTGTGTTGCAAACCAGTAGGTTACAGGATTTTATTTATTTCTAATTCATATATCATGCCATCCCTATTCTATTCCTTATTTACACAAATTTGGGCAGTGAAAATAGCCAGAAAAATATTTCCCCACGTAACACAATGTAGTGGTAGGTAAGCTGGAGGCATGCGCTCTCGCCTCTGCACACCCTGAACCAAGCAGGTGGCATTTTACCTGCCCCTCAACTGTCCCCTCACTGTCTGAAGGAGATGCACTTAATGTCCTAGTGATTCTGGGGAAATCACCCTCAAGATCTGCAACCTGATGCCCCAAGACAGCGGGATTTATACCTGCATAGCAACAAATGACCACGGAACTGCGTCCACGTCAGCTACAGTTAAGGTGCAAGGTATGCTGTTCTCTCTCTCTCTCTCTCTCTCTCTCTGTCTCCCCCCTCCATCTCTCCCTCCCTTCCTTCCTCCCTCCCTCCCTCCCTCCATCTATCTATCTATATCTGTTTTAAAGCATTCTTGACTGTAGCAAAACATAACAAAACTTAGCATCTTAACCACTTTAAAGTGGAGAGTTCGGTGGCATTGAGGACATGCCCATTGGTTTGTGGCCACCACCACCACCCTTCCATATGCCTCTTTTATCATCTGTTCCTATTAAGCAATGATTCCAACCTCTTCTCTCCTCACTGCCTTGGCTGCCCACATTCTGCCTTCCCTATTCCTGCCTCGGACAATTTACATTGGTCGTTTTAAGTGGACATGGCCAGGGCACCCTGAGACTCGGGAAGAAAGGATCCCTCATCAAATTCTAAAGCAGAACCCAGGCCAATGGGAAGAGAAGCATGCCTGCTAAGAGCCCTTCCCCAGTCCTCAGCGTGGTTCCTGTTTAATTGAAGGAGGTTGCCAGGTAGCAGGTCCCATCCCCTAGGCCTCCCTTGGGCCTGGAGTCAGGAGCGCTGCTTGGACAAGGTTATGCGCCAGATTTGAGGCGCGTTTGGCATGTTTCCAGGGCTCCATGAGACTATGGAGCTACTCGAGTTCTGAGTAGCAGCCCCGCCCTGCTGTCTGTCTCCACAGGTGTTCCCGCAGCCCCCAACCGCCCCATCGCGCAGGAGAGGAGCTGCACCTCCGTCATCCTCCGCTGGCTGCCCCCGGCCAGCACTGGGAACTGCACTATTTCGGGGTACACTGTGGAGTACCGCGAGGAAGGTGTGTTGCTCTTTCTCTGTATTTGCTTCCTCTCAGGAGGGCTTCAGGGTCGTGAACCTGAGACTTCATATAGCTTCCTATTCACCGCACTTGGCCTGGCTCTCGCACCCTGGGGCCAGGCTACAGCAGCCAGCGGTTCCAAATGGAAACTCCCTGGGGCCTTCCTGACCCAGCCACTAGGTGGCAATGTGTCTCCATTGCATTGTCCTGCTCACCCTGCTCAATTACATAGATGGGTGCAATGGAGCCTATTTAACAGAGGCTAAGGAGTAAAGAAACACAACACTGTAGTTAGTAAGGGGCAAGCTCCCACTAGGCCCTCCTCTGTAGTTGACGAGTCTGTGGTTTTTCTCCTAGAACAGAAACCATGGTAGGATGATCAGACATCTATCTGTCCACCACCAGATAGAATCTATAGCATGTATATACATATGTATCTTTAACTGTGAGGAAAGAAAGGAGAGAGGGAAGAAGGAAAGAAGGAAGGAAGGAAGGAAGGAAGGAAGGAAGGAAGGAAGGAAGTTAGTTTAAGCCAAATGTGGTGGCTCACACCTTTGAGCACTTGGAAGGTACTGGCAGGTTCTCCATGAGTTCGAAGCCAAGCTAGGTCACCTAGAGCTACATAGTAAGACCCTGTCCCAATAATAGTAAAATTACAATAAATAATAATACATTTAGAAAGGCACTTCCAGGAAGTTGTGATTGTCGCAACCGCAGCTCCGAACCACATCACAAATTACCCAATTGGACTGAAAGCCCGGCTTGCCTGCCCAAGATCATTTTTTTACTTTGTTTTCCATCACCATCGTTACCTTCGCTCTTCCTTCCTCTTTTCCTTGTTAAGCGGGAGCTGTGCAATTATAAGACTCTTCAGTTCCGCCTTTCCTTGAGCTGTCTGCCGCAGGCTGTGCAGGCCAGCCCAGGTGTGACTGCTGAGTCAGAGGACCTGCTTCAGTGTTTCCAAGTTCAGCTCATAGCTCACTCAGAAGCTAAGCTCTCGTAGACAAACTGCTTAGTACTTCTGAGACTCTATCTCTTCCTCTGTCGAGTAAGACTAGTGCTCCCTTCTCAACCCGGTTTTTGTGAACTTTAGCTGGAGTTAAAGGGGAGAATTATGCCATGCGTGGAGTATTTTTACATTCTTACATGCTCCTGTATGTGTTCATTTTGCTTTCAATTTCCAGAGGCATGTTTTCTCTCACTTTGCTGTATCTTCTTACAGCCCAATCACGCTGCCACATATCCCCACGTAAAGTCAGTGCTAGCTCCTCAGCTTGCACATTTGAGAAGGGATAGAGTCCACAGGCCAACTTCTTGCACAGCCTTTATTTGATGTTATTTAGGAAATGGGGCCAAAATCCCCCACATTGGACTGCAAACTTTCAGAGCCCGACAGTGGCCATCCTGTCCTTTGAACTGGTTCTGTCCATTTTCCTATCTTTGGCTGCTGAAGGTCTTTGAAATAACGTTTCTTTGACTCCCACTCCCTCTCCTTGGAACTGCCCACTAGGTTCCCAGGTCTGGCAGCAGTCCGTAGCTTCAACCTTGGACACTTACCTCGTCATTGAAGACCTTAGTCCCGGATGCCCTTATCAGTTCCGGGTCAGTGCCAGCAACCCTTGGGGAATCAGCCTCCCCAGTGAAGCCTCGGAGTTTGTGCGCCTTCCAGAGTACGGTGAGTCCCAGCAAGCCTAGGGCAGCTAGCCAGCAGAAGCGAAGCAGTGGACCACTGTTGCAAAATCATTGGCATCTCTGATCCCATGGGGAGGGGTCTTGGGGCTGCATGGCAGCTTCCATCCGGCTACCTTTGAAAGACCAGATGGAGTGTCTCCAGGAGATATATGGGAGCCAACATGAGGTCTACCACCATTGCTGACCCTGGGCTTTCTGGGGTTTCCCAGGGGAACCTCAATGGACAGGCAGGAGACCTGTGTCCCTGTCTGCTCTCTGGCTCTGGCCCTCCTCTGAGACCTCTTGGGAATTCTAAGTTTGTTTTCCCCTGGGTGCCTCTGGCCAGCATTTGTTGAACACAGGACTATAGTGCTAAACAGCTTAAAAGAGGGAGCAAAGTAACCTGGACGAAGGACGTTGCTATCAGATAAAATGTTATTTGCCCCACCTTTCCAGAATTTAGTTTCCCACACAGATCTATTTTATCTACATAAAATTGAAATTAAGACATACATGTAACTAGCTAGAAATGGATATTACCGGTGTGATTCTTCTTCTGCCCACCTTGCTCTCTGCTCATCTTGGTCCCGTGGACATTTTAAAGGAGGAAGCTTGCTGGTCTGAAAAAACATCCCATTGGTGACACTTTAGGCAGTACACAGATGTGGCATGTGTGTGCTGAGGACAAGACAGGAAAGGGTGGGAGTGTCGCCATACTTAAAATGCAGCAGACCTGTGTCTCTGTGGGTTAAAGGAAGTTTGGAGTCCCCACAGGGCCTTGGCCAAAAATGACCATGCAGGTCATGGTCAGCCCAGCCAGGTGTCTGCCAATGGCCTTGACTTGTTCTCACAGGCATGTGACTTTCTGGAAAACCTTGACCCTGGATCCACACGTCCTCAGAATTCATTGTGGGCATGTCACCAGCTCGTGTTTCGGGAGAGCTGAGGTGACAGACCAGTATGGAGTCTTAAGAACTGAGTTACTAATATGGGTCCCTTCTTTCCAAGCCACCAGCTCAATGTGGCTCGGGATGGCCACCATTTTTGTTATGTTACTTCTAAGACCCGATTCCCAGCAGACAATACAAATCCCAAGGAGTGTGCATGCTTGTGTGTGTGTGTGTGTGTGTGTGTGTGTGTGTGTCTGTGTAAGACAATTAACACATCATACAAGGTCAAGCTGAACTACCAAATCTCACACAAGAACCAATTATGGCTGAAGTTCAGTCATCCCGTATCCAGGGTGAACTCGCCCAAGGCTGAGGACTTTGGTGCTAGGCAGAGAACTCTCTGGCATGCTCTGCTCATGGCGTTTCCTTTTTCCTTCCGTGACCCTCAGCTTTTTCAATCTCTCTGCACCCTCCCCTGGTCCTCACCTTCACTGACTTCTCCTTCAAAGTGTTCTTCTTCCCCGTTTCTATGTTTTCTCTAACTTTCCAGGAAACTACGTTTCTGATCGTGTCCCATGTTCTCCCTTTGCTCGAGGAGATGACAGAGAGTGCCTGTCTGCCTCTGCCATATCAGTTCTCCTCAGACATTTAAAAAATAATTTTCCAGAGAGTCACGGCCTTTTCCCACTGGGAGGCCTCCAAGTTTATTCATAAGAATGGGCTATTTTCCTTAGGTTATTATGCTGTATTTTCTTTATGAAGCTTTTCTTTCTTTTCATATGACATTCATAATGTCACTTGTGGATTCTCCCTCTCCCAAAGATGCAGCCGCTGATGGTGCCACCATTTCTTGGAAGGAAAATTTTGATTCTGCTTACACCGAACTGAACGAGATTGGCAGGTAAGGAGACCAGCTACCTCACAACAGGAAAATGATCAACTTGGTTTTGTTGATCTTTCTTTCTGTTTGTTATTTTTTTTTTCAAATTTGAGACAAGGTTTCTTTGTGTGGCTTTACTGTCCTGGAATTAGCTCTATAAGCCAGGCTGACCTTGAACACACAGAGATCTGCCTGCCTCTACCTCCTGAGTGCTGTGATTAAAGGTGTGTGTCACGTTGCCTCAGCTGGGGTTTCTTTCTATCTTGTGTAGAAGAATTCTCTGTGGTTGGAAAACAGCTAGTGCATTCCTGAAATTTTTCTACTTTTCTTTTTCTTTGCTTGAGTTGGAAGCTGGTCTCATCAACATTTTCTAAGAAAGTCTGGAGATTTTTAAGCCACAAAATATTCCTAAAAAGTGTAATTTTAGCTGTATGTCCCAAGTTTTGATATATGATATTTCTATTATCATTGTTATTTCTAGGTATTTTTTCAACTATGGTTAATTTTTGAACTAGTTACAATAGAGTAGAAATTACATAAAATGCTCTAATATGTATGAGATTTTAAATTATATTTTGTTATTCACTTCTAATTTCATTGGTCTGTGATCAAAGGAGTTGCTCAGCCTTGCTCTGTAGGTAAAATATAACAAAATTTTGTGAAAAGTTTTATGTATTCAGGCTTAGTGGCTAAGAGCACTGGCTGCTCCTTTAGACAACATGGATTTAATTCCTAGCACCTACATGGCAGCTCACAACCATCTGTAACTCTAGTCCCAAGGATTCTAACACTCTCTTCTGGCCTCTGGCAGCATTGCACACATTTGGTGCACAGACATACAGGTAGGCAAATTGGCTATACATATAAAATAAAAATAAAGGGGAATTTAAAAGGTTTCATTTTACTTTCTTTTTAAAATTAATTTTATTTGTCTGCATGGCTATTTTGCCTGCATGTATGTCTGTGCACCACATGCATGCCTGGTGCCTGCAGAGACCAGAAGAGGGTGTTAGAGCTCCTGGAATTGGAGGTATGGAGAGTAATGAGCCAGCATGTGGGTGCTGGGAACTCAACACTGGTATTCTGCAAGAACAACAGTGCTCTTATCCACTGAGCCATCTCCCCAGCTCCATCATTGTGTACAGAAGTATATTCTGCTTAGAAAAGAAAAGAAACCCACCTCTATGTAATGCTCAAAATGGCATAAAAAGATCTTGACTAAAATATTATATTACTTCGGGGGGCTGTAGAGATGGCTCAGAGGTTAAGAGCATTAACTGCTCTTCCAGAGGTCATGAGTTCAATTCCCAGCAACCACATGGAGGCTCATAATCACCTATAGTGATATCTGATGCCTTCTTTTAGTGTGCAGGTAAACATGCAGATAGAACATTGTATACATAATAAATCAATAAATCTTTTAAAAATGATACTTTGGCATCTCAAAGAGCCCTAGGATGCTAAGGAAGAAGAGATGACTTTAAAAAAAAATTATTGTTATAATTAAAAGTACAAAAGGAAAGGTTTTTTTATTTTATTATGTTTAGTGTGTATGTGTATAGATTATGCGGGATGTGTGCACACATGCCACAGCCCATGTGTAGGGGGTCATAGGACAATTTGTGGGGTCCCTGCTCTCCTGATTTTATGTGAGTTCTAGGCATCAAGCTCAGACTGTTAGTTAGGCTTATTGCTTCAGAAAGTGGGTGCCTTTCTCCACTAAGCCAAATCACTGGTCCGAGAAGGAAAGGTCTCTCTTTTTGTTTCAGATGTATTTGTTTTTATTTCATGAGGATAGTTAAGTGCCTGCATGTATGTACCCACACCACGTGTATGCCCTGTGACTGAAGAGTCCAGAAGAGGGCACCAGATACTTTGGAACTGGGTGCTGGAAATCCAACCCAGGTCCTAACCTCTGAGCTATGACTCCAGCCCTAGAAAGATCTCTACTACTGCTTGATGCGGGGAGGGGATGTGCACATGTACACAGCAGGGTGTCTTGAGCATGGGACCCAAGTCTGAAATAGTTCATCCATATTTCATGCACACCTTTGCCTGAAAGTAATTTTATGTGCTATGTCTGGTGGACCTGCATTTGACCATCACTCACCACAACATGAAGTCAGGTATGAAACTTCCCACAGTGATTTCATGTCTGCATTCAGAAGCTGTCAGATTTTAGAGCATTTTGGGCTTTAGATATTTGGATTAGGGACACTCAACCTGTATGATGTTACTGTCTCAGCAACTTAAGTAAGCATGTGCACATGCATTCACACATAAACACACACATACATACTCATGCCCAAGCACATACACTTATACACACATGTTCAAGCACACACACGCATGCTCGAGCACACATGTACATGCACACACATATGCTTGAGCACTCACATACATGCATACACACACATGCATGCTCAAGCACATACACACACATGCACACACGCATGCTTGAGCACGCACCCACACACACACGCATGCACACACTGTAAACGTATTCTGGTAAATGACCACCCCCACCCCCCACCCCCACCCCCCCGCTGACTGATGAACCTTGGAGAACCTTCCCCCCTTTTGTCTCGCAGAGGCCGGTTCTCTATTGTAAAGAAATGCATCCACAAAGCTACCCGCAAAGACGTTGCTGTGAAATTTGTGAGCAAGAAAATGAAGAAGAAGGAACAGGCTGCCCATGAGGCTGCCCTGCTTCAGCACCTGCAGCACCCCCAGTATGTCACTCTCCATGACACCTACGAGTCCCCCACATCCTACATCCTGATATTGGAACTGTGAGTACAGGGGTCTTATCTCTAAAGAAGTCCTCATCTGCTGCAGTCCACTGTCCACAATTTATGGACAAGAGTTCCATTTTCACCATGTTTTATGGTTTACAAAGTGCTAATAAGCCTTTCCCCTCCTGTCTTATGTAAATGTAGTATTATTCCACAGACTAGAAAACCAAGGATAGAGACTGAGAAGGTCTTTACCGCTAGCTCGACAAAAGTCCAGATGAGTGTGGCTCTGAACCCAGATCTTCTCACTCCACTTTTTCTTATTTTTCTAAGGTTTATTTGGTTGTTTATATTTATCAGGTACAGTGTTTCATTGCATGTATACACGATGTGATCATCAAATTAGGATATTAGCATATCCATCACCTTAAACATCCATCATTTCTTTGCAACAAAAACATTTATTTTAAAAAAAGAACCTCTTCTCTAACTATTTGAAATATATTAACAGTTCACATTGGTAACTCTAGTCACCGTACTATAGAGCGCCAGAACTTATTTCCCTTCCCTAGCTGTAATCTGTACTTGTTTCATTTTCTTCCTACTGTGCACTCTCGGGCTTGATGGCACTTGAGAAGAGTTTACTGGAGGAAGGCCGATGGACGGGGTGGAGCTGGAACGGCAGGAGTTTGTCCTTCAGTCAATAGTCATGGCACCCCCACTCTACTATCCTATTCTTTCAGGGTGGAACTTTTCCCTCCAAGACATTCCAGGAATGGCAGACTATCTTGATAATAAATATCCTTAGAAAGACACAGCTCTTTAAAACTCTGAGGCTATAAATCCAACAGTTAAGACTAAGAGATAAATAATACTTTAAATACAGCATGGGAGATGCTAGGGATCATACATTAGACAGAGCTACAAGAACATACAACAGGTCTTTGTTAGGTGTGTGTGACCATCAGGGAAGATGTGTGAGAAGCAAGGCGTCAGCAGAACCATGCCCTGAATCTTGCTCTGCCTGTAGATCTCCTGTATGGTCAGTAGGGATGGCTGGTAGAACCCTCCTCCAGGCAACTGAGATTTCGATTCCCTGGTCTAGGAAGGATGAAGACTAGCGAAGAGCTCCAAGATGCGTGGGGTGGCTTGTGCTTTGTGGGCTTGGAGCAGTGCTGCTGTAAATGTTCCCCTTGTTTGCTCCAAGTATCTCTGGGAGTTGCATGTAGCGAACCCAGTGCCACTCCTGTCTGTCCTGTTCTCTCCCACTTCATACCTAGTAGGTCAGAGGGAAGTAGGGAACTTTCCAGGGTCTCCATCCTTTTCTTCTGTCAAGAAAGTAGAATAGTCTCAGCAAGGAACAAACTAGAGGAGAAAATGAAAACGGTCAGGCAAGTTTCAGATGTGGTTGGAAGTTATTCTTACCCTGACTCACACTCCTTGACGTAGGCATTTCCTGAGATGTGTCTCAAATGACTCATTGCTCCCTAAAGAGTTAGATCACTTCTTGTTACAAAAGGGCACAGGGAGCCTGGAAATAGCTGCCGGTTACTGAGCACGGTCTTGGTTACTTCTCTATTGCTGGAATGAGACACCATGAGCAAGGCGTCATAGAGAAGGAAGAGTCTCTCGGGGCTTACCATTTCAGAGGGTGGAGTTCATAACCGTCATGGTGGGGAGCGTGGCAGCAGGCAGACGATGCTAGAACAGTAGCTAAGAACTCGCCTCTTGATCCACATGCACAAGGCAGAAAACTATCTAGGAATGGTGTAGACTTCTGAAACTGTCGAAGCCCACACAGAGCCATACACTTCCTCCAAAGAGGCCACACCTCCTAGTCCTTCCCAAACAATTACACCAACTGGGGACCAAGTATTCAAACCTGAGTCTAAAGCAGCCATGGTCATTCAGTTACCATAAGCACTTTCTTACACTAGGGTTGTGTTAATTACTCATTGCTTTGCTGGGTTCTTGTACAAAGCTGACAAGGAAGGAGATCTTATTTTGTTGTTGATGTCGCTGATGTCACTGTCCTGTGCTATTTCCACTTTAAAAGATGGTGTGCTTCAGGGAAGCCAAAAGACAGAGAGATTAAATGATTATCTGCAGCCACCATCTGGGAAGTAGAAGAAGCAGACGTCAAGTTTGCACATGCCTGGCTCCACTTACCACTTTCCCAGGCAGTGGTTAGAACTTGGCAAGCTGTCCAGAAAGGCCAAGGAGTTAAGAAGAAATCAAATATGCCAAGGCGAAACTTACCCTCCTTCACATTTTTCCCATCTAAAAATGTCAAAAGGGAAAATACTTTTTAACATAGATGAGGCTAACTATAAGCACCAATTTTTTCCCCTCATCCTAACCTTAAAGCCAGTTAGCCCTTAAAGTCAACATTCCGTAAGCAAGGTTCTAAGGATTTCTGGTGAGCTTAACACATTTGTAACGTGATTCATTCTATTCTGAACATGGCACTCACTTTGGGCTCTGAAATATGTATATAGTTAGTTAGTTTTAGGTTTTGGGTTTTTTTACTCTTTTACTCTGGGAAGTGCTACCACCCAGCTCCCAAATAATCACACAGAGACTTATTCTTTCTTATGAATGCCCGGCCTTAGCTTGACTTATTTCTAGCCAGCTTTTCTTAAATTATCCCATCTACCTTTTGCCTCTGGGATTTCACCTTTCTCTATTCTATTTACCTTTCTTTCCTTCTTACTCTGTGGCTGGCTGGGTGGCTGGGAGGCTGACCCCTGGCATCCTCTTCTCCTTCTTTTCTTACCCCCTTCTCTTTTTTTCCTTCTATCTATTCTCTCTACCTGGCAACCCCACCTGTCCTTTCTCCTGCCTAGCTATGGGCCCTTCAGCTCTCTAGTAGACCAGTCTGGTATTTTAAGCAGGCAAAGTAACACAGCTTCACAGAGTTAAACAAATGCAACTTAAAAGAATGCAACACATCTTTGCATCATTAAATATTCCACAGCATAAATGAATGTAACCCATCCTCAACTAATATCCCATGACGTGTGTGTGTGTGTGTGTGTGTGTGTGTGTTGTAATGCCAATCTCCATTAAGACATCTTAGAGCTTTTTAAGCTTTCTCCATGGGCCGATTCTCTGTCTCCTCCCAAGCAGCCTTTTATCCACCTCCTTGTTTTCAGGATGGATGATGGCCGACTCTTGGACTACCTTATGAATCATGATGAGCTGATGGAAGAGAAAGTAGCTTTCTATATCCGAGACATCATGGAAGCTCTGCAGTACCTCCATAACTGCAGGGTGGCACACTTGGATATAAAGGTATTGCAAAATCCTGCTGCAGTAAAATAGGTACCTGCTGCAGTAAAATAGCAGAGGCTAACTTGAGGAATGTACAGTTGTATTTTTTTCTTTTTCCTTGGTTTGGTTTTTGTAATGTTGTTGTTCTTTCAAGATAGGGTTTCTCTGGCCCTGGCCATCCTGAAACTCACTCTGTAGACCAGGATGGCCTTGAACTCAGAGATCTGCCTGCTTCTGCCTCCCAAGTTCTAAGATTAAAGGTGTCTGCCATCACTGCCCAGAAAATTTTGTTTTTAAGGAAAAGCTTCTGTTTTCTTAAAAGGCTATTTATTTTCTTGATTCATTACAAAATCAAAGGTTGGATAAGAAGGCATGCTATTCTGGAGTAACGTGTGACTTGGTGGCAGAACACCTGCTCAGCATGCCTAAGGCCCTGGGTTGGATCCTTAACACTAGGGTGGGGAAGCATAGGCTGGGTGCGGGGCTTAGTTAAGCCCAGCAGTCAGGAGGCAGAGACTGTAGTAGATCTCCGTAAGTTCCAGGCCAGCCAGAAATACACAGTTAGCCCTGTACCCCTCCCCCAAAGGCACAATTTTCACTGCCAAACAACTTATCTAAAGTACCACCGAAACTCAGAGCTTAGCGAATTCAATGCCATGCTTTGAAGCCTCCTTTGCCTTTGCATAGGGAATATCCCACATGCGCAAGCTTACTGAAGAACAGCAGAATCCTATTTAGCTAACAGAGTCCACCTGGTAGTCCGCAAAGACCTGATCTTGCCTCTTTTCTCCCTGCCTTCCTGGGTTCCTGTAGCCTGAAAACTTGCTCATTGACCTCCGGATCCCAGTACCTCGAGTGAAGCTCATCGACTTGGAAGATGCTGTCCAGATCTCAGGCCACTTCCACATCCACCATCTGCTGGGGAATCCAGAATTTGCTGCCCCAGAAGTGATCCAAGGCATCCCCGTCTCCCTGAGTACAGACATCTGGAGCATCGGGGTTCTGACATATGTCATGCTTAGTGGGGTCTCCCCCTTCTTAGATGAGAGCAAAGAGGAGACCTGTATCAATGTGTGCAGGGTGGACTTCAGCTTCCCTCACGAGTACTTCTGTGGCGTGAGCAACGCAGCCAGGGATTTCATCAACGTCATCTTACAGGAAGACTTCCGGAGGCGGCCCACGGCAGCCACGTGCCTGCAGCATCCATGGCTGCAGCCCCACAATGGCAGCTACTCCAAAATCCCCCTGGACACCTCCCGCCTGGCCTGCTTCATAGAGCGCCGCAAGCACCAGAACGACGTGCGGCCCATTCCCAATGTCAAGAGTTACATCATCAATAGGGTGAACCAAGGGACCTAGCCATCCCCCAGCCCCTGAGGTTTCACATAGAAGTGCGGTGTGAACCAAAGCAAGACTGAGCGTGTCTGTAAATAGCTGTGTTCATCATTTCACTCCATGTGGTTCTCTGGATTAAGAGGTGGTTCCCTTAAACCTTGTCTGTGGTTCCGCGGGGTCCGAGTGGCAGAAGAGTGACCCTAATCCCAGGAGCATTCCAGAAGGTTCTGCCGAAGAAATAAACATGCAGAGCTGCAGGAAGTATTAAAGAGGAAGGGCAAGGCTGACAAGATAGTAGTCAGTAGAAAATGTTAATTGTACATTCCAAAATGGGTGGTTAAGTGGGCAAGCCGTCTACCCCACCGTGAGGAGGATAGTCGGTTTCTGACTCCGTTGAAAATTTACGCTAAAAGTTCTATTTAACAGAGATGTCAACTATTCTGCTTTAGATGGCTTAGATATAGTTTCTTAACAGGATACATATACACATACAGTATACTAGATCCCATTCAGGTTTCAGAGTTTTATAATATAGAGTTCTATATGAAATCAATCCTAGGTAACTTTGAGTGCTCCCGTTAAGACAGTAATTTATTTACCGAAGCATTGCATTATTTTGACTAAGCACAATTAGACAAATTTTTTAGAGCATTTTATAAATCTTGTATAGAAATCTTTTATCAGAACCTGTGTATTAAGAGAAAGCAATGTGACCCTTTTCAGATCTGTGAATGAGATACTGTCCCCCTCCATCATGGGTTGTTTGAGTAAGAGAGGTTCTGTTTATCGAAAGTTCCCGCTGAACTCTCTAATCGCTCAGAGTTCTTCCTGTGGGAAAGCCGGGAAATAGGTCCAAACCTAGTAAGAGTTGGGGGGTTGTTTCTTATGTTCACACCAGGCCTGACGTAGGTAGATGGAAATCATGAGTCCATACAAAAGGGCACATAGAAACTTTTCCTACAGCTCCTATGCGCCACGTAGCAGTTCTTTCTGGTCGCATAACTGTAGAATACGGTTTCCAGAAAGTTAGCTCGCTTTATTCCTAACCCCTCATGAAGCTTTAGGGTGCTTACCAAAAGGAGGCAGCCATATAAGCCTTTTAAAGGCTAGTCCTAAGTCCTTTCTCAAGCCATGGAGCAAAGCCCGACCCAGCACTCTAACACAGCATGGGTTCTTAACTGGGATAGCAATACCTAACACCACACAGCCACCAACGTCTCTGGACTAAAAGGATTAACTGCATTCGAGGCCAATGCTGCTTTCTCCATACACGATTATTCACTGCCCGGTGCCCTCTGGAGGGAAAACAAATTAACCAGGGCACTTCATGGGTTTTGTTTTGTTTTTTGAGGGTTTTTTTTTTTTTTTGTTGGAGGGAGTGGGGGAGTTTTTGTTACTTTGTGTTTGTACATGATCCACCCTTTGTTTTCTAGAGTGTGTTTTTAAAAATGCTTTTATGCAAATAATATTCTAAAAATATAACTCAAGTGTTTGTGTAAAGCAGGCTTCATGTCCTCGTGTCTCTCCTGCTAGAGGGATTGAGAACCTGAAATCGTGTAGCACAAAGTGCAATCGGAGAATCTGGGGAGGGAAAGGAAGCTGCAAAACTGTTTTAACTATTTCAAGAAGAAATGATGGGAACAGTCTGAACTTTTTGTATAAAAACACGTATTCCCATGATGGAAACAGAGAATTAAAATACTCATTTTCCCACCCACCCCCAGTGGTTTCAAAGCCAAATTACTCATCACCCACCCTCCATCTCATCTCATCTCATCCGAGATTATAGAGTAATACATTAGTGAAAAGCAAAAGCAATAAGATTAGCTAGCACCTAGTACTTTGGGGATTAACCACATATGTGGAAACCGACTCTGACTGTATAGTTTCCTGGTCTTCGGGTGGCCCTGGGTCATCAAGCCTCACTCCCACAGAGCTTGCTAACCCTCCACATTCTTCACCTAAACCATGATGTATACACACATATAAAAGCATATGCTATGGTATTTAAAACATGCTTACTAAAGTCTTTATGATGAAGTGTAGCATGAGGGAGGAAGGCCTGGGCCCGGAGGGCTTGTTGTGGGATAAAGTGCAGCCTCTGAGGACTCCAGAGACCCAGAAAGAGACATGGCCAGGTCTGTTCTGTCCATTATGGCTGCCTTGAGAGAGGGGCTTCTTGTGGCGTCACTTAGGATTGTTATGACTGGCTGAGTTTCTGCTAGGGAGGAAAAGAGCCCAGGACAGTGACGTTCAGATGCCACAGAAAGGCCATATGGAACGCACGTTGTGAGGTGACAGAATGCTAGGCAAAGCCAAAGTTTTCACAGCACGCTTGTGTCAGGGTTGGGGTGGTCCAGATGTGGAGCTGCATGGAGTCGTCTCGAGTACACAGGGAAGACAGGAAAGGATGGAGGGGCAGCCCAAATACAGCCGTTAGAACAGGGCAAGTGTCAGAGAGGTCGTGAGAGAGAGGGGACACACTTTCTACAGTTTGAGGACTGAAATGAACAGGGAGGCCCCTAGCCACAAAAGCACCTGGTCCCTCCAACAGGGAACAAGATGGTTTCGCTCAAGAATTCTCCCTAACAAGCTGGGAATTAGGAACAATCCCATTGAGGGGGCTAGGAAATAAAGAAGAACCGGGAGCCCCGCTCCTGTACCTGTTTTGGCAGGGTGGTTTGTTACTAAGAAGAGGGGAGAGGAGAGAAAATCTCCCACCCCTACCACCATCCCAGTTGTTCTTACCGAGTGAACTGCCAGCCCCCAGGTTCCTCGTTTGGCGTGTATTCATCATTTTTAGCTCCTTGGTTTTATGTTAAAAGGGTGGGGTACAGAGTGATGGGAAAGATCAGGGCCAACCCACGATCCTGATGAGAAATCTAATAATGTTTTGCGCCTTTTACATTCGCTTCAGATGAAGCAGATTTCTCTCCACTTAGACCTGAATGTGGTAAAAACTGCTAAGAACAACTTTGTGATGTGTGATGTATCCTGCAGGTCTCTCCCAGCCACCGGCAACCTGAGTGGGGGTGGAGGAGGCCGAGGGGAAAGCTGGCCTCACAGCTTTGTGCTTTGCAAAGCCTTTACAGATAGTAGTGCCTTTCGGAGGGGCAATGGGGAGTGAAGATGTCCGATTGCATTTGGATTTGCTGATGCTGCAGTATTTTTTCCTTAGGTTTAAGATATCTTTTAAGTGAAAACATCTGAATGTAGGGCGAGACCAGGTGTTTTTGAGTACTGATCTCAGCTATCCCAAATTTCGTTCTTTCTTGTTTCTGCCCCCATATTCCCATTGATAAGATGGAATTTGGGGAGATGGAGAGAGAACATTCATCTCTTAAGAATGTTGAGGAAGATGTCCTAGCTGACACATCTATAAAATATTTTTGATTTCCTTAAAGTGCTACACACTGCCAGTGGTAGAATTTTATTGACAATAACTTTGAACATTCCAGTTTCCCACAGTCTTATCTTCAGATTCCATTTACAAACTCACGAGGTTAAACGCTGTCGATTGCTTTTTATTGGAAGTTCCAGGTGCTCCTCATCTACACGTTATTTGGTCTCATTTTTATAATCTCCACCCTTTAAGAGCTTATCTACAGAAAAGATTAGGAGAGCTGCCGAGGACATGAAGGTCCATAAGCCATTTTCTCCAGTATTTCTTATGGTAGACATGAGAATCTGACGCCTTCCAAGACAGCCAGCCCTTCCCTCTCTTCCCAAGCTAATAGAAAAACTGTGTGAAGAACCCAGGCAGTTACTTTCCTCACCGGGAGGGCAGATGTGAGGATCGAACACCCTCCCATGTCCCAATTTGTTTCTTTAGAGTCTCACAAGAATCTTCTAGAAAAGGCAAGTGGTTTGCAAGGGGGTAGGGAGAAGATGGATGGGACTTAGAGAAGGAGAGCTTTGGCTCTGGTCTTTCGAGAATAATCTCTCGTTGCCAAACCTCCATGCCTGGGAGTCACTCGTTACTTTCTTTTTTCATGCCTATCTGGAAGAACTTGGAAAAAATATATCTGTGAAAATATGAGGGAGAAAATGCGATACAAAGTAAACAGTGGTTATTTTTCTATGTTAAATGAAACTCTCTCCTCTAGTCCCAAGAGAGGGGAAATACACTGAACACAAAGGGTCTCTGTAGTAGGCATGGTACCTGCACATCACGTCCTACGGCAGCCCATGTATTGTACTGGGTGAGTTTTGAGGAATGTAGACCGTGCTCCTTTGTTGCCTGGGTAACATTCCAATGGAGTCTGGATGAGGCAAGCATATACAAGCTTTCAAGAGATTTATTTGTAAAAAGCACCTCATGAGTATTCTTTTCTATTTAAAAACCTAAATACCTTTAGGGGAGGAATTATTAGAGCCAGGTTAGGCTAAAGGCAAAGCTCACATAGAGTCCGCCAACAGAAAAGAAGGTACTATGATAGTCATTTTCTGAAAACCGCAAGGCTCTCATTGTCTCATTCATTCTAAAGAGCTCAGAGGGGCTGGAATTTGTCCAGAAACTTAGATGCTTTGATAGGAAATGTTTTTCATGAAAAATCTATATGGAAATAGAGTACAGAAATATTATATGGCCACATTTTTTATGAAAGACATTTTCTCTTATTTTTTAATATAGGTTGAAGTTATAGGAGAATATAGTCATTCTACTACAGTGCTTTAATCTTTAAAAGTTATTCATTAAAAGCCTAAAATTAGCGCTCCTAGGCTATTGTCTTTTCTTATCAGTCTGTTTGTTAAGAAATTCCAAACTGTGGTCAGGTTTCGTTTTTATCCAAATGACCAACCTAACAGTTTAGTCAGATAAACCTCCTTCAGCGAACGGGGAAGAGCAAGAAAACATGTAAATAACAAGTCTTGGAATTCCTGAGAATTAATTTAACCAAGCCAATTTGCCAGTCCAGGGATAGGAGGTTTTCCCGCTTCCATCAAGAACTAAGTTCGAATCCTGGAGTCCCTGGAGACCATTACTGTGACCTCAAAGACCGTGGCTATGAACCTGAAGTTAACAAAGCATTTGTCTTCTCCTACTAACTTAAGCCATAACTATCACCTCCGTGTTCAATTTCTTTTGTTTTTATTTTTTTACCCCTGGTGCTTTTACTTCTGTTTCTGCCAAACTTCAGACTACTGTGAGGAAGTAAATAAAACTGGAAAAGGGACAAACAGGAAGACTGTGAAAAACTAAACACACCCTTGAGAATGCTATTTATGCAGAGAACAGCAGCAGTTAAGGGCAAACTGTTGGCAAATATGGATATATGTACATCTGTACATGTATATAGTGTATAATATGTATGTATATGTGATTGCTCATATGCAGAAATCTATCCATTTGCAGGCAGCCCAGGTGGGTCAGTTTTTCTACTGGAAAACCATTTAGGACCATTCAAAACCATTAGGGATAATATGTGGAGAAGTCTATTCACATGGGAACTAATTTGATGTCTTTCGAAGTCCATATGGCCAAACGAACAAATTATAAAACACATTGGGACCGTTATTTATGTGATTCTGTTTACTCAGAATTCTATATTTGAATTCGTGTGTGTGTGTGGTTTGTTTTTGTTGTTGTTTTATTTTTGCTGTTGTTGTTTTGAGGCAAGGTCCCTCTGTGTAGTCCTGGCTATCCTGGAACTCACTCTGTAGGCCAGGCTGGCCAGAGACCTTCCTGCCTCTGCCTCCCAAGTGCTGAGATTAAAGGCATATGCCATCATGCCCAACCTATATTTGAATTTTAATATCTAATTTGCAAACCGTGCCCACACTTCATGGTTTTGAGTGATCCCTTCCCCCAAAGTCTTTTGAGAATTTGTGGTGGGTTCCTCTGGCCATTCAGCTAAAAGGCCTTATTCATAAGCGGACAGGTTTCCCCATAGGGACCATTACACATATACATATAAGTACCTGCTTCCACCAGGCTTGTGACAGTTGATTCAAAATCACTCCGCAGTATTGGTAAATAGCTCTATATTTTCAAGGTGCAGAAGAATTCCACAGCCTTAATTATTTCAGTGTCTTGCTGGTCTGCCTTAAGTGTATCTTCTGGGGTTTGGGGTTTTGGTTGTTTTATTATTTTAAATCTTCCTGCAGTTGTTCATTTTGTATGCACACAATGTTGTTTTGTAAAGGTAGGTTGTAAATATTTTATTTCTAAGTCGGGTCCCTTCCGTGTAATGTTGTAAAGTGCCGACCTGCTGTCTTGTTATGATTACTGCAGTACACGTTATAAGTTGTGGATGAAGTTTCAAAATGTACATTTCACATGTTATGCATTCCTATAAATATAATATACTGAAGATACTATTTTTAGTCTCCTCCCCCTTAAAAATCTTATTGTATCTATTTCTGTGTGTGTGTGTGTGTGTGTGTGTGTGTGTTTGAGCCACAGTGTCTGTGTGTGTGAGAAGACAATCTATAGGAGCTGATTCTCTCCACCATGTGGGTCCAGGATATGGAACTCAGGTCATCAGGCTTGGTAACAAGTCCCTTCACCCACCGAGCCAGCTCACTGGCTCTTGACTTTTTTTTTTCTAACTAAAACTCCTGTCCTTTGCCCCCTGCCCCTCCCCATGAGTAATTTTTCTCTCTCTTCTTCCCAAATATTTGAAAGCTTCTGGGAAACTTTAAAAAAAAAAAATCCCATTAGTAAACCAGCAAGATTGCCCAACAGACAACAATGCTTGTTGCCAAGGCTGAGAACCTGAGTTTGATCCACAGGACTGCACAGTGAAGGAGAGACGGCCTCCCGCTGGATCGCACAGGTTTATGCCTGCTGGCAGGAGTCCAACCATCTGGGAGGACCCACACAGGCCTGATCAGGCTTTCAAAGGCTCCCTGTGCCGCACAGGTGGGGAGGAGGTGATGCTACGGTTCTCTGTCAATTAGCAGCACCCAAAGGTGAAACGTGCTTTGATTTGGCAATAAGAACACAATGTTTTAATATTTGAAGTCTATTTAATCAAGGCTTTACTGCCCTCGACAGTTGTTTCTCAAGTCGAAACTATGCGTTTTACAAATGTGATGGTGAATGCCATTAATCCCAGCACTCAGGAGATAGAGAAGGCAGATGGACCTCGGTGAGTCTGAGGACAGTCTGGTCTACATAGTAAAGTGTAGTCCAGCTGAGACCACACAGGGAAACCTGTTTCAAACACAAAACAAACACAGGAATATATAGATTTTCACACTGGCAGTTCAGTAAAATCTCTTTAGAAAAAACGAAGACTACAGAAATTAAATCTCAGAATTGGTTTGATAAGTACCATTGGGGGTATTTTCATTAAAATAAGACAAATATAGTCAAGGAATTTTTATATTATTATACTATAATTATTTATTATTATTATTATTTTTGACAGAGTCTCACTAGTCACTCAGGTCAGCCTTGAACTTGCAATCTTCCTGCTTCAGGTTCTTAAGTAGCTAGGGCTACAGGACTGCACCACCATAGCCAGCAAAGGGATTTGTAAACCAATTATGTTTGGGTTTTCGAACTGCCCAACATTATTCTTCCAGACAGCCTGACACTGTCAGTTCATCCTCCCTAACCCCCTTGCCACCCTTCTTTATCCTGAGTACTTCAAATGGTGTAAGGGTTGAATAAGCAGTTTCTTTGCCAGCACCAGAGTGTACAATGATCTGCTTTATATTTAGTTCTATGTGCAAATATCTGTGCAACTCTCCCACGCCAGCAGCCGTGAAGTTAATTCAAGAAGAGTCACAAGCACCGTCATAGCGAACTTTTCTGGAAGAATTTAGGGAAGTGGTGGCTAACAACGATAAGATAATTGCTATAATACTTATGGTAAGAGAATGACTCAAGGAAACGCTAAGCTTAAAAAAACTAATTAAAAAAATTAAAAAACCAGCAGGGCCTACAGACTCCCTTCGGAGAAGCTGAGCATCAATCCAGCTTGCAGATATTAAAAGCACAGCGCCCCAACCAGGAAGCAGCTAGCACGAGCACAGACCCCCATCAGTCCAGGCCGGAAAGGGCGGCGGAAAAGGCGGGGCTTCTGGGTGACGTCACGGACCCCGAGCGGCTAGGCTTCCAGAGCGAACTGAGCGCGCGGGAATGGCGGTCGCCAGCGAAGCTCTGGGCCTCTTGGTCACCGAGCTGTACGACGTGCAGGCTTTCAAGTTCGGGAGCTTTGTGCTCAAGAGCGGGCTCACCTCCCCGGTCTACATCGACCTGCGGGGCATCGTGTCCCGCCCGCGGCTCCTCAGTCAGGTGCCAGCCCAGAGGGACAGGATGGCTCCGGGTGGCGGGAAAGGAGAACGGGAGGTGGCGGGAGTTGGGGGACGAGGGAGAACCCACGGACCAGGCAGGCAGACCCACCCTCCTGCTGGTCTGGAGAGTCAGTGGAGGAACACGGAAGCCGGCAGCCGTCGGTCGGGCTCTTGGGGACCTTGTTCTTGACCGACACGTGCTTTGCGGGAGTCGGAAAATGCTGTGGGGCGAGCGGGTGGAGAAATTAGTAGCTGCCAAAGGATTCAATTTAGTAGTATATGGCCAGTAGCAAGAAATTAAAGCCACATGGTGGATGCCAGGAGGGCAGATTTTTTATTTAATCTATTTATTTGGTTACTAGGGGTAAACTGGTAAACTGCACACGTTAGAGTTTTCTAACCGGGTGCTTCTCAAACCATGAGTGGGTTATATATGAGTCGCCGCAACGTCGGCGGTCAAATAATGCATTTCTAGCGTCACAAGCTGCCAGCTGATCTGCAGATGTCCTCTGAGGAGATGGGTGGAAGTGTTGCTACTCCGTGTGAAGATTGAGTACCGTGAAGACTATATTAGGTTTATTTATTGCATGTGTGTGTGCGCGGGCGTGCACGTGCACGTACTCTTGTGAGGGTCAGAAGCAACTTAAGGAGTGTGTTTTCTCCCTGTGTCGTGAGGGCTGAGAGATTAAATTCAGGTGGTCGGGCTAGGCAGAAAACAGCTGTACTGGATGAGTCCATTTGCCTACCAGGATTGTTAAGATAGCACTGAGGAGCTGGAGGCAGTCCTGGAACTCTGTAGACCAGGCTCGGCTCAAAATCACCGAAGTCCATCCGTCTGTCTCTGCTTTCTGAGTGCTGGGATTAAAGGCATTCGCCACCACTGTCCGGCCGTTCAGGAATCTTGAAGTGGTGTGTCTCATTGGTGCAGAGAAACTGTATTACTGGGAACTTTCTCATGAGAATTTTAAGTTTAAAAGAAGTTTATGTGTATAGGTGTTCTCGGTATGTTCGCCCCCCAGAAAAGTAATAGATTGTTTGCATGCTTCTAACTTCCTGATAATAAATAATAATTGATGTACTCATAAACAGTTGGAGGAAAATGATATTTATCTGACTAAAAGAGAAATTTCCAAAATTTCTTCTTATACTCTATGATTGCAGACTTATGTTTTAGGTATTTGCCCAAACAAATGATAGTGCCAGAGAATCTCTAGCAGACTTAAAATCGTGAGTTGTTGTTTTTTTTTTGTTTTTTGTTTTTTTTTAACTTGGTACGCTTAAATTTCAATTAAGCCGGGCAGTGGCACATGCCTTTAATCCCAGCACTTGGGAGGCAGAGTTAGGCAGATCTCTGTGAGTTCAAGGCCAGCCTGATCTACATAATGAGCCCATGCAGCCAGGACTGTTTCACAGAGAAACCCTGTTTTGAAACACAAAACAACAACAAAAAATTTCAATTAATGTAAATATAAATCAGTTTAGTTTCATGAATAGAAGCATGACAGATCAGTAAAAGCCCACAGGAGGAAATATGTATTGCATATTATTGCATGTAATAATTCTGTGTACAAGGTGAAATTGGGGGGAGGGAAGCATTAAATTTCCAGTTTTCCTAATCTATCTAGCATTTGTGTGCATGCCTGTGTGTTAGTGGGGATCAGGTCCTGGGTTGTGAGTAACCAGGCCAGGTGTGGACTACCCACACCTGCCGCCTTCCCACATTCATTACAGGTAATGATGAAAACATTCTCGATATCTTCTGGATTTTAGTACTAGAAATTGCACACTTTGCAACTTAAAAATGATGACAGAATTTTAAAAACACAAGAAAGAAGCTAGGCATGGGGTGGTACCTGCCCATAATCCCAGCACGTGGGAGGTTGAGGCAGGGAAATCAACTTGTGTTTAGGTCCAGTTTTGAGAATCTACAAAACACACAGCTGCCCATTCCCCCAAGAGTAAGTGATGGATAGCATAAGAATAAAATATTGTGAAAAGCTAACTTGGTTTATGAACAGCTCTAAGATAGTGTTGGATGGGAGGATGCATTCTGAAATTAAGACGTTGATTTGGTCGGGTGTGGTGGCGCTTGAGTTTAATACCAGCAGCTCTTGGGGGGTGGAGGCAGACGGCTCTCTGAGATGGAGGCCAGCTTGGTCCACACAGTGAGTCCAAGGCAGCTAGAGCTGCACAGAGAAACCCTGTCTTGAAATCCCTTCCCCCATATGAATGGTTTATGTAGAAAAGATAAAATGTATTTCACTCAGTAGGCTCTATACTTAGGAAAGTGTTCATTGAAGGCTTCTTTCAGAAAATAGAACCAGCCGTGCTTCTAGAGAGTCAAGGCAAAATGGGAGTCTGGGAAGTGTCCTTGGTCTTCAGGTCAGCCACATCACGTTACCCTCTTCCTGAATCTAGGTCTTCCTGAATCTAGCTGAATGGGTTCATGTTTATGTTTGCATGCCAGGTTTCGAGATTATTGTGATGGGTCTAAATCAGTTGCTTAATATCTTCTCTCCTGAGCTAAGATACTCAGTGAATTGTTACAATTAGTCTACTTATATTTTAGGATTTGATTTAAAAAAAAAAAAACTCCCTGGGGGCTTTATTTCCATCTCTATTGTTAGGCTATTGTACAACTCAAATAGCATTCTAAGAGGTAAGAGTGGAAGTTTGTGTGTTCTCTGTCGTCATGCTGCTATGTGCACATATAGCATTCTAAGTAGTAGTAATAATGGGAAGTTTGTGTTCCTTTTTTTACAGGTTGCAGACATTTTATTCCAAACGGCAAAAAATGCAGAGATCAGTTTTGACAGTGTGTGTGGAGTTCCTTACACAGCCTTGCCACTAGCTACAGTTATCTGTTCAACCAATCAGATTCCCATGCTCATCAGAAGGAAGGAAACAAAGGATTATGGTAAAAGGAAAATAGCATAAGCCTCAAGTTAATGTGTAAACCTGCTAGGGTTTTGTTCTCTTTCGGCCCGGTGATTACTAGAGCTCCTCAGAGGCCTGATGAGCTGTTGAGTTGTTGACATGCTCCAGACGTCCTTCCTGTAGTAATTCTGAAAAGT